TATAACATGAAATTGAAAATTAGGCAAACTGTGCAAAAGAACCAGCAAGAGATTGAGAATAGTTTTAATCCTATCAATTTGGATTACATATTTCATGAAGATGATCCCCTTAAATCCATGGTTAGAAGAAAGGGAAGAACCATTGATGTCATTGGATAAGAAAACTCGCTCTTGGATGAATTCTTTTGGTGAAGATGATGATAATGAATGCATACCTCTTTCTGAGTCACTTGATAACCAAGGCTCTGATTCTAGTCCTGCGCCAAATGAAAATGATAATGGTGGTGGTAGTGACAATGATGATGATGGTGGTGGTGGCAGTGGTGATGGTAATGGTGATGATGATGATGGTGATGAAGGTCATCGGGTTACTAGTCTAACCCAAATTTATGGTTATAATTGTGAGGGTAATCTTCCAGCTCAAGGTGATACTAGTGGTCATTATCATGAATCACCGTTTCGCGAGGATCGTGGACTTAGTGCGGTTAGAGTTGATCCAGAAGCATATGGTCAAGAATCACGGCGTAGAAAAAAATCAAGCAGAAATACGAGAAATTGGTATGAATATGAAGATTCCTCGTTTAGTATTATGTAGAGTTTGAGTGATCTCACCCTTAGTGATTCATCATATGGTAGTGGTAATGAAAACTACCAATCATCAGGCTATCCAGTTGGAAATTATAGTGCCTACCCTTATAGTTATTCTCCTCAATACTACCCTTCACCGTTACATCCTCAAGATAATTCTTTAGGACTTTTGAACCCTAACAATTACTTGACATTGCATACATATGGAGAGCAGCCACAAAAAGATGGAGTTGAATTTGGAACATTTACTTACATGTTGCCCACAGGATGGAATGATGACAGTGGAAGTAACCAAGATCAATCTCAATCTCAAAGTTTGGATCCTCCGAGTTGTTCTTTTGGGTGGTGAGATTGTTGAAAGATAATGTTATTGCTTTTTCTTTTTTATTGTATTGTACAATTCTAAAAATCATTTTGGTTTTATCAATATGTTTCATTTAATAAATTGTTAGATTTGTAATTGTGCATTTTATTTGTTCAATTGTTGCTAATGGAAAGGTCATTGATGCATAGTGACTTAAGAAATATTATTAATAATTAAGATATTTTATTATTTATGATATAATAAAATGCACTAAATCACTAAACACTCATATTTGCATGATTTTAAGTTAAAACATGTAAATATTCATGTTTTATGGCAGGTTGTGAGTTGAAAAAAAAAACTCACGCATTCGGTTTCTGTTACCATTACAAAACACCCGTTTCATTTTGCGTCCTTTACATTGTTATTGTTACCATTACGGTAGCCGTTACCGTTATTCAAAACCATGGATACGAGTGTATTGACTTTTTAGTCAAATTTAATTTTTTGAGGTGTTTAAGGTTGATAAGGGTAACTAAGTAAATATATTTATTTTTTAGATCAAAATTACATTACGATTGAATCTGAGAGGTCCGAAAATCTTGGAATAGATATTTAGTGCATATAGCGGATTGGAGACGTAAAATGGTAACTTTAGTGTTTCGGATGTAAATTGACTTTGATTTTGAGATAAATCATAAAACTAAATGTTTTTAGGTTAAAATAACATTAAAAATGAATGCAAAACGTCTAAAAACCTTAGGGTAGTCATAGAGATCAAATTAGAGATATTTAGTGGTAAAATCATAATTTTGGAGAAAAAAAAAATTTTTGGCCTTATAAATAGTAAAATTTGGGATTTGCTAGTTTTAAAACACTATTTTTAGCCTCATTTTTTCCATTATTTATTTTTTTTCTCACTCAATTCCTTTTAGAACCCTAGGACAAGATAAAGGGAAAGAGAAGAAGGAAGTACAATATCTCTAGAGCTTGAGTTTTTGTTTAAAAATCTAAGAATATTACTTGGGATTCTTGGATCCACTTGGACATTTATAGGTGGGGCTTGTGTTTTTGAGTTTTGAGGTAGGGTTTTCCTTTCTTTTGTATATACATTGATGCATCTCAATATATATTCTATATCTATTTGTTTTAGTATAAGCTAAATACATGATATGAGTCTTAATTAAATGATGAGTTTACTATGAATTTGTAAACCTGCATGCATTAAATGAATTTGGGTATTCTGGGTTTGAAACCCTAACTTGATTTTTGTTATAGTTGTTTAATTGAACTTAAGATTTTGAATTTCTTTAGAATATATGTGATTTTGTATATAATGTATTTGATTTGTCACTTAAGAACGAGTATGTTCCTTTATAAATATGTATTTGAGAATTTTATGTCTTTCATGTGTTTAATAAAATGTCAAAGTGACTATAAGTATTGAAATGAAATATTATGGAAAGAGGTATTGATTTTTATGGTGTAATTGACTGTATTTTACCATGATTTGGGGTATTGTTGAGTTATTTTAAAATATGAAAATGATGTATTGATCTATACAACTTCTCAATTATTTAATTTGCAAAATTTGCTGTAAAAGGGTACAAATTATATTTTTGGTGTGTATGTGAGCTATTTTGAAAATGTATTATGTTCCAAATAGAAATGTGAGATTTTGTAAAACTATGTATTTTTTTTTAAAAGTGTCAAAGTTGTGGTTGGTGTTGAGAATGGAAGGTGATTATGAAATTATAGTTTCAAATTTGTATGTTTGGTAAAGACAGGCAAATGGTTAGTAGATGATTGGGGCCCTTGAGGAGGGTTACCAAAGCGACTACTAGTCACAGGAGGGATTGGTGATGGTAGTGATTTTCGGTGACAACTTGTGTGACATTACAAGTTATGCCCTACATATCCCCCCCTGAAAAAGCAAGAAGGGCAATGAGATCCTAGGATGTAAGATCCAAAAAGATTCGATGGGAATGATTCATTCATGCACTGGTGTTTGTTTGATAATATCTGTTTGTATGGATAGCATACATGGATTTTGGGTGCCAAGAAACCAATAGACTAATATTTCAACAACTTCTTGAGTGGGGTGAGATAAGGTGAGGTTGAGACGAAAGTACGTGGAGTTAATATTTTTGAAAAATACTATGAAAATAGCAAATTTATGAAATTGTGTTTAAAATAAGAAATGATTACTTTACCATATTTGTTATACATATACTTGTACGAAGATTTCTTAGTTTGTACTTTATAAAATCAATGGTTTTGCATTATGTTTTAAGAAGAGAGGTTTTATAGTGTTATTTTGAGATTTGATTTCGAAGTGGTAAATTCTTTGATGTTTTCACTTATGTATTTTAAATGATAGTATATAATGTACTTTCAAAAATGTTTACCTCTTATCGTATATCTAGACTTATCGATAAATTATTTCCTTATCTATCAATATAATTGTAAACTGTTGGTATTTAAAATCTTGTATATGCTTGAGAAAAAGATTATCCTACTGAGTGTATGGTTGCTCACCCCTATCATTTAACATTTTCAGTTATGGGCATATGTTGGTAGACTGCATAGTGGAAGTATCGAGACAAAAGATAGTTGTTATGATTTAGTTAGAGTATGTAAAGAACAATGTAGGATGATGTATATTATTAAAGATTTGTAAATGATTTATATGTTGGTTAATTTGAGGGAATATGTATAGATTGAGACTTTTTAAATGGTTTACTTATAAAAATTTTAGATATTCTGTATATTATGTTCATGATGAAGAATCTTGGATAGTTAAATTGTAACCTGGATTTGGGAGGACTTCGTGGACCTCTATTTGCTATCTCGGTTTTGAACATTAATGATTTATTTGCGGAAGTTATGAGAAAGAATGTATATGATTGATATGATGTGAATGACTAGTCATGTATAATTATTATGTTTAATGTTCTTACAAGTAACTCTTACCAATTGTCTGGATGCCCTTTCTTCAAAGGAAATTTTTTCAAAATTTTCTAAAAAAATAATTTATTTAAATTAAAGAGATACTTTCCTAGATATTTTTATAATAAACTGACATATTTTTTTTAAAATAAATAAAATATTTATTTTAATTACGCTTTTATAAAATTTGGGACGTAACTTTATTGCTTGCATCATCCTTCACACACTAAACACACCCTCACTCACAAAATCACACAAAGTCCATCTGGACCACATCCTATCTTATTCTATACTCGAATAAGCAGATTTTAAGCACCATCAGGACCCATTAAATGACTACTATTCATCACGTAAGTAAATAAAAGCCAAAAATAACATTTTCTAAATAAAGCAATCCAAGATTCCAAACAGAATGAGCTCATTTAGTTGCCAGATTAAAAATTGATGGATTAGATAAAATAATTCGGTCTAATACAATACAGAAAGATAAAAGACAAGATTAAATATCGTATTAGAATAATACATAATTTTATCTAGTGTTTGGTAATACACAACATAAACGTTGGATAATAATTATTTAATCTAATCGGTTGTTTAGTTAAGAAATTATTTTATTGTATTAATGTTGAATTAACAAAAATACCCTAAATCAGTGTTTGTTACATTGATGATAATTTGATTTTATCAGTTAGAGAGTTATAATGGTAAATGTGCAAAATAATATGTTTGCGTTGGATTATAATACCACCTTTTTTAGTGGTATTAAAATACCTCCATAAAACAGGTCTAACATATAAAAAATATATGTTTTTAAAATTATTACGGTATCAAATTTACTTATCAAACAAAGTATTAAGACTGATTAAATAAAAAATAATATAATTTAATATTTAATCCCTTTATAATACGTCTACCCTTATAATAAGTTTACCAAATGAGTCCAATAAGGTAATAATTGGTTGACCGGAACTGATACAATTTATTGTTAGTGTTTATAATAATAATAGTTAGCTAACTCGACATAAACAGTCTGGGTGGTGTAGTCGGTTATCACGCTAGTCTCACACACTAGAGGTCCCCGGTTCGAACCCGGGCTCAGACACTAAACTTTTTCAGACACGGCTCTTCTATTTTTACCTTCGCCTCCACGTTTATCATCCTACGAGTCCCAGACTGACGACCTCTCAATTTATCAACTGATCGCACCACCCAAAACTCATAATTACACAATCACACCGTCGTTATCGTTTTATTCTTTTTTTTTTGCTTAAATTCCGTTTGTTCATTTCTTATCGCACACCATATTTTCTAGGGTTTAGCACACAGGTGATCATGGATTGGGGCAACGTAACTGCAGAAGATCTGATCGAAGCCCTCCGCGAGGTAGATTGGTCATCGCCTCCTCGGCCACTCTCCGAGTTCTTCTCCAGATTCACCGTCCCAAGATCCTACTCCAAATGGAACAGCCGCCTCAAGTGCAATCTATACTAGTACGATTCTCCAATTCAATTGCTGTATATATACTTTTTTGTGTGTATATATACTAGTGCGATTCTCCAATTCAATAGCTTTATATATACTTTTGTGTGTGTGTGTGGGAAGAGTGTGGGCGATGGGGGCTATATCCACTGATTTATGCGAATTTTATTTTCGAACTGATCGGTTTGTTTATCGATTGTTGAATTGGTATGCTCTGTTTATTTGATTAGAAATTAAAGGAAAAAGACAAGAAAGAGCAAAAAATTGGAAACCTCATATTTTCCCTTGTATTGTTTTGTGAAAAGAAATTTGCTCAACTTATAGAAGTACGGATCTGAATACGATTGATTTATTTTATTTTTTATTTTTATCTTCTGCTTTCTCATCAGCCCACCAGCAGTTTGGGGTTTGTTGGTTAGAGCAGCTCTATTGGTTTACTTGTCTTAAAAAATTTCTTTCTTTGTTGCAGCTACCGGACGAATTATTTCATCATGATTGTATTCATTCTGGGTGAGCAAAAACAATTATTTTATTTCTCATTTCTACTATTCTACGTTCTTATGTAGACGTATGCATGACTGCTTGTGCTATGTTGATTGCAGGATTGGCATTTTTGAGGAGGCCACTTGCTATTGTTGCTGCTCTATTGACAGCTCTAAGCATTGCATTTCTAAATGACAGGTATGAGAAAAAGATGTGTGTTGTATCTCTGTGTAATACTTTTCCCCATTGTTTTTACAAGTGTGGAAATGTATCTCTGTGTAATACTTTTCCCCATTGTTTTTACAAGTATGGAAATGCTTAATCATGGTATCTATCAACTAGAGCAAAGGAGCCATTATATATTGGGAAGTATGCAGTTTGGTTTTTGATAAGTATGATTTGAAGAGTTTGCCATAGATGTTTCACAGTAAAGGACTACCATGTTCTTTAAATATCTCATGCAGTCATGGGTTGAAAGAATTCAGCACAATTCTTCGTGCAACGATTAATTAATAGTTGTTAGAAGCTTTTTTACTTTAGCAGTTGTAGGGATAGAAAGAAACTGCCATAATTTGGTTGTTTAATTTGTAAATAGGGACAGCAAGTCCTGGTCGTGCATCATTAACCTTTTTTATTTCCCTTTTTTGGGTGATATTTGATTACGTATTTGTGGTGGCTCAGATTATGTTTAAAATCATAGTTTTCTTTGTTTCACCAAAGAGGGTTAGGGACTTGTGCACAGGAGTAACTGGTTGGCTAGTTGCCATGATGCAAGGACTCAAAAGCTACTCTTAAGGGGAAAAATTCTCTGGACAATCTATAACAGTAACACTTTATCAATTCAGAGGGAAATTTTATCTCTTGGGCTCTCCCTCAAGCAACTACCCATAACAAAGGATTCCCATTTAATCGCTCTTAAAACCATCTCTCTATCCTCCCTCCCCTAAAAAACCCAAACTCTTCCTTTCTCCACTTCTAGAGGAAAAGAAAGAAAAAAGTAAATGTTATTCATTTCATTTGGTTATTTCATCTTCTGGTGATAGATTAGTCATGTGCCACAGACTCAAATATAAAGATTTGAAGAATATGACACTTTTCTATGGATCCACAAAAATGAAGTGTTTATGAGAAAATCCTTCAAATTATACATTGACCTCTCCATTCCTTTAAGCAATAACTCTTCTAAGTATATGACTGTTCAGTTCTTTGTGTTAGTCGCTATTTATTTAAATATTTTTTTAGCTAAGCAAGGTCATCACTTTTCTTTGGTTGTCGAAAGGGAAATGAGGGTTATGTGGTGAAGTGAAATCAGGTCATATGAAGAATCATCACCCCTAACATTAACACATGGACACACAAAAGGGAAAATAAAGAGAACCATTTTCCATTGGTGTTGGTTTAATATGAATTCTTCTTTTTCTCCCAGGTATTTTTCCTGTCATTTTTCTTATAGTTTTTGTTAAGAATTTTTCTTACAGCTTTGCAGGTACTTTTAGTGAAAAGGTGACAAGGACTGTGAGGCAGTTTTCTCCACATTTAGCTGCAAAAATAAGGCCTCCACTTACGTAAGTCTGTTGGCGTCTGTGTATTTGAAAAACATCTAGTAGCAACTGCTTACTTAATTATATGATAATTTTTAGGCCTGTCATCCGAGGGCGTCCATCAGCTAAAAGAGCGATTTATATATGTGGACGGCCTCGTTGGGTGTTTGTCTTCATATTCTCTACTGGTGCGTGAAAACTTGAAGTCATTAGGAAATCTTTTATAGTTCTCCTTCATGACTAAAATATAGTAATTCGTGCTGCCAACTAATTAAGTTTTTCGTATTACTCTATTTGCAGTGAGTTTCATCCTTTGGTTTGTTTCTTGCGGCCTTTTAACTGTTCTATGGGCATTTGCCATTGGGCTTCTTGGTAATTCCACATTTTTTGACAAGCCCACTCTGTATTCTTTAATTAGATATTTGAAGTCTAGGTATTTATGTATGTTTGATTAATTATTTTTCGGGCTTCTTGGCAATTCAACATATTTTTGACAAGCCCACTCTATATTCTGTAATTTACTATTTGAAGTCTAGGTATTTATTTACATTTGATTATTTTCCTGCTCTCTCTCTCTCTCAGCTACTATCATCCATGCAAGCTTTAGAACACCCAACTTGAAAGCTCGTCTGAACACATTCCGTGAGGAATTTCGTGCAGTTTGGCGCAATTATAGTGACCTGTAGCTTCTTTAAAGTTTACGGTACGTCAGTAACTTTGCTTGATCTGTTTAACCTTCATTTGCCTAGATGTATATTCTCCACGTTTGTTAATTGGCATATGTGAATACATGGCACTGTTATCATGCTTGGGTGTTTATTGTTTTTCATCTTTTTAATTATTAAATTAACTGTTAAGCTGCCAGTGTCCCCTCAAGTTTTATATGTAGGATGCCATGCTAAACGCAGCAGCATTTCAATTTAAATGCCAAGGAGGAAATAGTCTATCTTTATTGGTTTATTATCGTCTTAGGTGTTTGGTTTTCAGACGTTGTTAGGCTCTAGGCATTGCATTAGTGAAGCTTGAAGTATCAGGGACACTTTCTTGGGGGAGGTGGCTATTACATTTGTGTGTCTTTTTTATTTGGAACCTTGAGGTAGTGATGTGAGCCAATTACTTGTTGCTCCAAAATCGAAGCTTAGTTTCTTTTTCCCTAGGGTTAATAACTTAATATTTGCAGACTCTATACTGAATACAAATATCTTTGGAGAGAGTTAGGCTGAAGAACGGCCCAGCAAGCCTGATGATTTATTAGATGCCCTCTACTTCTGCATAGAATAGAACAATAAATAAAATAAAATAAAAGAGGTAAATAAAGCAGGGAAAGATAAAAAAGAAAAAATATGTCCCCAGAAACCCTGTGGAAAGTAATCATTTTCTCCCCTCTACCTCCTCTCCACCAAAAAAAAAAAAACAAAAGAGTAAAGACCCTAATTTCCAATCATTGTCCTGAGCAGGAAGTTTCAGAAAAAACAAATTAGAACTAAGAGTCAAAAGTAGGCTTATTCGTAGAAAATTCTACCTTATTTAGTTGGAGCCTGTTCAATAGGTTACATTTTAAAAGAGGTTGAAAAGCTTCCTTTTTTTTTTTTTTTTGTCGATGTCTTTGGATTTTGGTGTGTCCTCTCTGATGTTTAATCTTGTCTAACAGTCTTATGGTAGATGGGGGTAGATTAATCAATTAGATGGATAGCCCATTCTTTTCTTATTATTTTTCTAACTTTTCTAGAAAGGCAGATGTTGGTTAAATTATACAAAACCTAGAGAAGTTGGGAACATTCATTTTTTTTCTTCATATAATATGTTGTCCTTATTTCAAATTTTGGTTATGGTAACAGACTTCCTTCTCTGTTTAGGGGCATCCTGTTAGTTGTGAAGATAATGCAATGCATTATTCTGAATTTGGGCCTTCCATTCTGCCGGCACAGAACAATTTCTTTGTTCGGCTACTACATTCTCAAGTACTGGCTGCTAATATTTGGAGACCGATGGTGCACTGTAAATCGGCTGGAACTCTTGTTATAGTCAACACTGCATTTATAATCCATATTAAGAAATCTTTTGGGATTTGTATATGCAGTTGCTAAAAGATTTCGTAATGTCTTGTTGAGAATTCTGTCTTGTTGAGAATTCTTTAAACATATTCAATAGTCTGTAGTTTGTGCTAGTGACAATCTTGTTAATGCATTGGACAATCGAATGTACACACTAAAGCCTTTTTCTCAAACTCTGCTCTTCTTTTTGGGTTGTTTTAGAACTTCAAACCTGTATACCTGGTGGTGCTCAAAATATTTATATTCTTGTTGGGTCATTCTAGTAATATGAAAAGTGTGTTTAAACTGCCTCATTTCTCTACTCCTAGATTACTTGATTGACATGGCATGGCTTGTAAGAAATCTGCATATGATTGAACGAACTGCCCTTGGTGTGGATGAGTGTGCCTGAAGTGCATTTCTCAGACCAGCTCCACGAGTCACTAATGAAAGAAGGAAACCCGAACTTACAAAGCCTAGAAGCAAGTCAAATGGTAAGAAACCCCATATCAGTCTTCCCCGGAAATGAGATCCCAAGGGCGTCAAAGTGGTGATTGACATACGTAGTTTGCTGTTGCCCATGGCTGGCCCGGGACGTAGTCTGATCGAGGTATCGATGGTAGTATTCTGTCATTCTTGGGCCCGAGTTCCGGTTTGTTCATTATCCTGGATTAAGGTGTCGGGTAACCCGAACCTAGCACCTATATACATGGTTTAGCTATTTCAAGTAATATTTAAGGTCATTTTTCTTTTATTATGATTAAATATCATAAACTCAAACCATCTTACCCTTCTACCATTATAGCTACTAAATGATCACCGCATTGGAACACGTTGTATAATGAAAAACATAACCTTGATCAATAGGCTTGTGAGTCGATGTGATTTGGGTTTTGGATTTTAATCAATCCGAATTAAAAGCTTCAATCCAACTAAATCAATTAAGCTAAAAATTTAAAAACATCTGATTTAAAAAAAGAATATATGATTATTCAATTGTGTCAAACCATTATGTTCGTCTTGATATGGTCCATGACCGACTCCACATCCAACAGGTACCATGGACTTAAGTGCGGGAAATCTAGCGGATTAGATAAACTCATCCATCTCATGGGTCTGATTTTTCTATTAATTTTTAATAGTAAAAATGTTGTTGATTAAAATAACGTCTTTTTGTATTACAACGATGTCATTCTATTTAAGAAACAGTGGCATCTTTGCTGTTAATTTTCTAATAGCAAAGGATCCTCACCTTCCATCTCATACCCATCCAGCCAAAAAAAAAAATATAAATTTAAAATCTATTTCCTTTATTCTTTTTTTGCGTCAAGTATTAAAAAGTTGTAGGTTCGATGTAACACTTTGTTTGGATGAAGTATTGAATATCTATTAAAATTATAAAGAATCCCAATTTAGTTCAATTCATACTCATGTTTGATATTTATATATGAGTTTGTCAAGGGTAACAATATATTTTACACAAATACTTCTCAACCGGAGTATTTTAACCCACCAAATAGTTCGGTTTATTTAAGAAAGTTTTTATGGTATTAAATGCATTGTTTATCCCAGCCTTGGATTATTTATAGTAATAATATCGAGTTCAAAATAAATATTCAAACATGAATATAAGTGGGATAAGGTGAGTCGATACATGATTTTGTCCAATTCGTCTTTGTTAATATCCAAATCAAACACATGGATTCTATTACTTGCAAATTTACTTGAGATATGGGTTATACGTGTCCCTAATCACGAAATAATTCAAACATCTTTTAATTGTGTGGTTCTGGTTATGTCCATTGATTCTATTTTTTTTTTTTTAAATGTCTATCAAGTTAGAATTAAAACTGTGAAAATAATTTATTTATGCAGGCACATCCTCGCAACTTTAAGAGAAATTGAAGAATACGGAATTGTTGGTGTTCGAATAAGAACTTAAATAATAATTTATTTGTATTTAATTTGAGAATTTTTATTTATCAACCTAATACATTGTAGTAATTAAATGAATTGATAATTAATTTTATTTAATGCTAGACCCATTGATAGTCCAATAGTTTTAAATTCTCGTTATATTTCAAATGAGTAATGCTATTGTGACTTAATTTACTGACATAATTTATTAACTTAATTCAATGAAACTTTTGAATTCATTGTAAACCCCATCAAATATTGAAACTTTGTGTTGATCCAATGATTCCTATGAACCAACATCATTATGTCAGTAAATTATGTCAGATTTTTAGGTCCAAATATTATTACTCATTTCAAATAGCAATGGACTTAACTTGAACACCTAATAAGAGATCTACTTCAATACCGCCATTAAATTATGTAAGAGTTTTAAAATTAGATGGAGTTCACTTACAATTTAAAAACTATATTGAATTAGATTACTAAATTAAGTTTCAAAATCTTCACATTGGGTGTAACAAGGACACAATGTCATCAATTATCATGTGGTATCACGAACTAATTATAAAACAACAAATAAGATCATTGAATCTACTATAGCACGACATGTATTAGATAAGGTGATTATTGATAATTATTAAAAAGAACCCATTAAATTCACTTGATATTCTATTGTTGATTAATGACACCGCATAACATTGATGAGGTGCACACACCCAATTCGAATAAAAGCAATGCTATTGAGACTTAATTTATTAATCTAATTTACTATGACCTTTGAATTAATTGTGGGTTCCATCAAATATTGAAATTATGTATTGATTTAATGGTTCCATTGAATCGCATAATTATATTAATAAATTAAATTAAAATTTTAAATCCAAATAGAGTTACTTTTTGTAGGATTCCAAAATAATTTGAAGCACAAAATAATCCCACACCAAAGATTTAATCAAAAGAAGAAAGAAAAAACCGAAGACAGAACTTTCGGCCAAAGACCAACGACACTCTTAAACACAAGTTCAACATCAAAGTTGAAAAAGAATTCTCTTATTCTTAACCAAAAAAAAAAAAACGTTCTGTCATAACCCATTACAATTAAAAATAAAGGCTTTAAATATAAAAGAGATAAACTAATAACACAAATCTTATTATAACTTTAATTTTTTTTTGATCAAATATTATAACTTTAATTAAATTACTCCAAACTGACTAGTATACTTTATGGGTCAAAACTCTTAAACCC